AATACATCCTACAATGGATCCGACCTTATATTTTGAAAAACTCACCACTCGCGCTCATGACATAAAATTGAGCATGATGTCTAGTGGAATGTAGGGACCACCTACTGAAGATTTCTCAGAAGATGAGAAATACATCACTTCAATCAGGGGGGGCGGTCATACTTATAACACTTCTAGAAATGAGAATAAACTTTCTACTCACTCCTAGAAACGAGTATAACTTTCTTCAGCCTCCTAGAAACGAGGATAACTTTCTACAGCCTCCTAGAAACGAGGATAAAATTTCTGAAATCTCCTAAAAAACGAGGATAAACTTTCTAAAATATCCTAGAAATGAGGATAAACTTTTTTCAATCTCCTAGAAACGAGGATAAACTTTCTACAACACTCCTACAAATGAGGATAAACTTTCTACAACACTCCTAGAAACGAGGATAAACTTTCTTCACACTCCTGGAAATGAGGATAAACTTTCTATAATCTCCTGGAAACGAGGATAAACTTTTTGCAATCTCTTGGAAATAAGGATAAACTTTCTACAATCTCCTGGAAACGAGGATAAACTTTCTGCAATCTCTTGGAAATAAGGATAAACTTTCTACAATCTCTTGGAAACGAGGATAAATTTTCTACAATCTCCTGGAAACGAGGATAAACTTTCTACAAGACTCCTTAACACGAGAATAAACTGTTAAACAAAAACAAACAAATTCAATTTATTTTGAACTACGTTATGACTTGATTCCTTCACCGGATACGTAGACAACTTGGAATATAACTCCGAGTACAATCAATTTTGTAAAAAAAAAGCCCTAATAAATAAATTGGGCAAAGAAGAAAAAAGTCCAAAAAATAATCGGGCTTTTAAAAAAAATTATTTGGACAAAAAAAAAATTATGTAAAAAAAAAAAGAAAAAAAAAGTTTCAGTAAAGAAAAAATTGACTTATGTTTCGAGACTCATTTACGCCTTAAACGCTTTGCGTCGGCTTAAACAAGTCTCAAGGGGGCATTTTGTAGACATTAAAAATTAAATGACTAAATTAAATTAAATATCATGTATCTTGGAAGAAAATAAAATTCCAATAAAATAAATATATGGTATTTAATTATGCACATATGTTAATTTTTGCAATAAATATCAACCATTAATGCAAAAATCTGCTTAAAATGGAAGATATTGTACAAATATTACGTGGATAAATAGAGTCATCATAAATTTGACAACAAAATAAATTAATCTTGTCAATAAACGAAATATATAAATTAATATCTTTCGAAAAAGACAATGATATAAAGATCTTGGCAAGAAAGAAAGGCGTGCAATCAAATCCTACATGAATGAAAAACGGCATCTGATGGAAAATGAAAGATTATAAACTCTTCCTATTGGCCAATCAGGACGCGCTACGTGGCACCATTCAAAAAGGAAGACGAGGTCACCCCTCCCCTATAAATAGGAGTCATGACCAGTTCATTTGGCACACCGAAGTTGCATCGAAGATTCAAGCAAATTGGTAAGTCTCTAGACTCTTTTTATATTGTTCTTCATGTTCTTCGTGTCCTTCGAAGCGTTCTTCGTCGAAAGTCACTAATTTGGACAAATAATCCAATATTGGTTGACGAATCGATGGAGTTAATGTTCTTCGTCGTATGCCAGAGCCGGAGGAAGGATCAAAGCTCTCAAAACCGTTAAAGAATTCGTCAAAGCCAAGGGAAGGTCCCCAAAGTTCTTCTCAAAACTTCAAGATGTTCATTGTGTTCTTGAACAAAGCATCAATTAGGTCCTCTTCGATCCAAAAGTCAAAAGGACACGCCGCCAAAAGTGTTATGTAGCACCAAATCCACCTTTTCAAGGATCAAAACTCCAAAAGCCGTTGAAAAATCCATCAAAGCCAAGGAAGGGCATCCAAAGTTCATCCCAAAGCTTCGAGGTGTTCATCGTGTTCTTCACCAAAGCATCAACCAGACCCTTTTTGATTCAAAAGTCAAAGGAACAAACCGCTAAAAGTGTTATGAAGCACCAAATCCACCTCCGCAAAGATCAAGGCCTCGGATCGTCCAAAAAAAGACATCAAATCCAAGTCAACGATCAAATCGCCCACACGGAGACCAAAGCCTCCAAAAGCGGCAAAGTCAAAGCAAATATTAAAGCCATGGATCGTCTAAAGAAGACATCGAATCCAAAGCCGATGATCAAATCGCTCACACCGATACCAAAGCCCTCCAGAAGCGGCAGAGACAAAGCAAAGATTAAAGCTGCGGATCGTCCAAAGAAGACAAAAAATCCAAAGCCAACGATCAAATCGCCCCACGGAGACCAAAGCCCTCCGAAAGGCAGTAAAGCAAAACCAAAAATCAAAGTCGCGGATCGTCCAAAGAGGACATCAAATCCAAAGCCGACGATCAAATCGCCCACGCGGAGACCGAAGCTCTCTAAAAGACGGAAAAAGGCAAATCAAAGATCAAAGCCGTGGATTGTCCAAAGAAGATATCAAATCCAAAGCCGATGATCAAATCGCCTACACGGAGACCAAAGCTCTCCAAAAGGTGGCCAAGAAAAATCAAAGATCAAAGCCTCGGATCGTCCAAAGTGGACATCAAATCCAAAGCCGACGATCAAATCACCTGCACGGAGACTAAAGCCCTCCAAAATCTGGCAAAATCAAACTGGAGACCAAATCTCTTCGGATCAAAGAAGCCATCGAAAACAAATCGACCCGGAAGGAGAATCAAAGGACCCATTTAGAGAATAGGACCCACTTTAAATACAAATGAAATATAATTTGTACAAATTTTGTGTTTATTAAAAATAACACAATTTTTTGTCCAAAGGGATTTTTGGCACACCCAGTGGGACCTCTCTACCTTTCATCTCTCTTTCCGACGAACTTTCAACAACCATTGGCTTCCTACAAAATCAAGACTTTTAACGTTGCGTCAAAAGTTGCTGCTCAAGCCGCCGTCGCCGCCAAAGAAGTTGGCGCACCCATTGCATCCAAAACCTCAAGCGCTTCGACAAATACTGGAATGACAACACGAAGCATGACCAAAAGAGCATTGTCATTATCTGAAGACACTTCTCCAAAAATCACAAAGCAAAGTCCACTCTATGAAGAAGACGACAACTTCAAGAGTACTGTCGCATTGTTCACCCCTCAACAAACTGCAAGTCATTCAACCGCATCAAACTCTGCTCCGGTGATGACTACCAACGTTTCAAATATTGAGGACCCAAAGATTGTGGATCAAAGTCTGCTCTGCGATGAAGATCAAAGCTTCAAAGACACTTTCATGCCACCTACTCATCGGTCAATTTCAAGTCATTAAACCACATCAAGCTCTGTTCTGGTAATGACTATCAATGCTTCAAATATAGAAGAACAACTTGCAGTATTGACCAAAATCATTGAAAAGATGTCTTAACACATGCAACAACAAGACGCTCTCATAAAAAAACTTATCACAAAGCTAGACAAGCCTGAAGAATCCAGTTATGCCATCGAAAAACAACCATCTTCTCCAGCAGTCCGAAATAAAGCAGCAACATCTGTGGAGCAATGTCATGACAAAGAAAAGGTGGCGGAACCAAATCTATTTCAAGGATCATCCAACTCCTGCATCCATATATCCCAACTTGACAAATATATCAAGGGGGCAATCAAAAGAGGATCCGAAGGGTGTTCAAGGCCGACGCACACTTACACCAAGCCTTACACTGCAAGGATTGACGCTCTCAAAATGGCAACGGGCTATCAACCACCAAAGTTTTAACAATTTGACGGCAAAGGCAACCCAAAGCAACATATAGCGCACTTTGTCGAGACATGCAACAATGCTGGAACATATGGAGACTTAGTCAAACAATTTGTGCGGTCACTAAAGGGCAACGCCTTCGACCGGTACATCAACTTAGAGGCTAGTTCCATCGACAATTGGGAGCAACTAGAGTACGAGTTCTTGAACCGGTTCTACAGCACGAAGAGAACCGTCAGCATGACGAACTTACCAATATCCACCGGTGGAAAGATGAGTCAGTAATTGACTACATCAACCGCTGGAGAAGTCTAAGCTTCAACTACAAAGATGAACCCGTAATTGACTACATAAATTCCAAATAGAGTATTGAATATAAGATGGTTGATATGCATTCGCCAATTGTGACTATGATATGAAAAAATGCGATTTTTTAGAATGTACTTTATATATTTGCTAGCAAAATAAATAATTGACAAAAGTGATAATTGAATATATATCTAATCTATAATTATTTTTATTATACAATAATTATTTTTACTAATATATTTTTAATTATTTAATAATATATCTGTCATAAATTCTCGTGTATATAGTTAAGTGTACATCATAACTTGTACCGAGGGAGTATAATATGTTCTCTGAAATTTTAATTTGTAACATAAAAAAAAATAAAATCAGTAACAACCTCCAGATATGTATGTATATATTATAATAATACACATAGGGTTTGATTGTTTTGGAGTTTGAATTTTGAGTTGAGATTAAAATAATAAAAAATTTGAATTAAAATAATTATATAATATAATATAAATAAGTATTGATTTGATATTTTGAATTTAAAATTAATTTTTATTATAATAAAAAATATATATTTAATTTGATATTTAAAAAAAAATAATTTAGGGGTGTGTTCGGTTGTAAAATTTTAACAAAATTCTACTATTCATCCAATTTTTTTCCCCCAAAAACATCAAATCAAACACCTATTTTTCATTTTTTATATTATACTAAAAATTAATTTTACATTCAAAACATCACATCAACACCTATTTATATCACATCATACAACTATTCAAATTCAAAATTTTTACTATTCAAATCCTAACTCAAAATCCAAACCCCCAAACAAACACACCCTAACATCGTTACCAATACTCCAAAAAAAACACACCCATAAATGTGTTCGTGTGTGTTGCTCTCTTGGATTTCGAGTATATATATATATATATATATATATGTATATATGCGTTGTCGTGTGCACCTGGTCCTTCACTAATCACATTAATTAGTCTGCCATATTTCCTATTTTCCCCAAAGTTATGGAGAATTTGCCCATTATTTCTCTACTGCTGCTCCTCCTCACCATTCTCCTCTTCTCCGCGATCGGCCGTTCCAAATCCAAACGCCGTTCCAAGCTCCCGCCGGGACCGCCGCCGCTCCCTCTCATCGGAAACTTCCACCAGATCGCCGGAAAACCCTTCCACCAATACTTCCGGCGCCTCTCCAAGACCTACGGCTCCCTAGTCCACGTCAAGCTCGGCTCCCGCTCCGTCATCGTCGCCAATTCCTCCAAAATGGCAGAACAAATCCTTAAATCCCAAGACCTCAACTTCTGCAGCCGTCCGCCATTGCTGGCGCTGCACAAGCTCTCCTACGGCGGCTTCGACATGGCCTTCGCCCCCTACGGACCCTACTGGCGGGAGATGCGGAAGCTCTCTCTTCTCCATTTGCTCAGCTCCGCGAGAGTCAAATCCTTCCGCCCGATTCGGGAGGACGAAGTCGCGACACTCATCGGGAAAATCTCCGGCAAGGCTTCCCGGTCGGAGACCGTCAATTTGAGCGATGAAATCGTGTTTCTGACGAGCACGATTATTTCCAGAATCGCGTTTGGGAAGAGATTCGAGCACGGCAGCGGGGAGAGCCGGGCGTTCGACCGGAATATTCTCGAGTTTCAGACGGCGCTGTCCGGGTTCTACTGGACCGATTACTTCCCCCGGCTCGCCTGGCTCGACCGCCTCACCGGAAAAACCGATCATCTCGACCGGGTTTTTAGGTCCTGGGACTCGTTCTACCAGAACCTCATCGACGAACACTCCGCCACCGACCGGCCGGAGACGATGCACCGTGACGTACTCGACATTCTGCTGCAGCTTAGGGACGACGAATCTCGACTGTTCGATATCTCTCTCGATCAGATCAAAGCGATTCTCATGGTGAAAACCCTAATAATTAAATTTACATTAATTTACGACGAAATTCCAATTTGACGCAAAATTTGGGGCAGGATGTTTTCTTTGCTTCAACGGACACAGTGGCGACGACGCTAGTGTGGGCGATGACGGCGCTGGTGAAGAACCCCGCCGCCATGGCGGCGGCGCAGGAGGAAATCCGGTCGGTCGCCGGAAAGAGGAAGAAAATGGTGGAAGAAGAGGACATTGCGGCGGCGAGCCTGCCGTACTTCAACGCCGTGCTAAAGGAAAGCCTGCGGATGTACTTTCCGATACCTCTCCTCCTCGGGCGAGAAGCCATTAGGGGCTGCGCCGTCGGCGGGTTCGAAATTCCGGCGGCGGCGCTGGTGTACGTGAACGGGTGGGCGCTGAGCCGGGATCCGGAAGTGTGGGAGAATCCCGAGGAGTTCCGGCCGGAGAGATTCATGGAAGGTGAAGAGAAGCTGTGGGTAGGGCAGGATTTAGGGTTTATTCCGTTCGGGGCAGGGCGGAGGGGTTGCCCGGGAATTACGATGGCGGTGGCGACGCTGGAGACGGTGCTGGCGAATCTGCTGTACGCTTTCGATTGGAAGGTTCCAGAAGGGATGAAGGTGGACACAGAGGCGCTGACAGGGATTACCTTGCACAAGAAATATCCGCTCTGTCTTGTCGCCAACAATTTCATCTGAATTTGTGTTATTGTTGTCTGTGTGTGTGCCAGTACTGTTCTGTTGTCTGCTGCCATACATATTTTGTTGATCTTAAAGAAATCTGATATAAGACGAATCCAAGACTATTGATCTAAAGTTATGAAATAAAAAAGTCAAATTAAGATCAAATCCGAATCCGATGTGATTTCTTGAAGCGAATACGGTCCGCCACCAATCAAAGATAGAACGAATTAACTGTAATAACAAATATTGCGAACCGAAACAAGGAAAAGAAATTTCAAAGAGATTTCGTTATAAATTTTTGATAAAAGATTTTTGGAAAAAAAAAAAAAAACCCTAGAGAGCTTCATTTTGTAAGAGATGTTTCCGATTTATTATTTGAGAGAAAATCGATTTATTTTAAATCCCAAACTTCCAGTTCACTACCATAATATTAGCGTTTCAAATTAAATTATTCAAAATCAAAATTAATTCAAAATAGATTTTAATTTATTGGGCTTAGACCACGAGCCCGACGGGCCCCACCCATCTTTGTATATATATATATAATATACACCTCAAATCAAATCCAATCCAATCCATACCCCAATTTTTATTTTTATTTTATTTTATTTTTATCATTTATGGAGTCTATTGTAACATATGGTGGCTGAACTTTGTTTCATCTTTCCATGTGAGACATTATCTTTCAATTTCATTTCTCTTCCTATTTCACTAATATATCCAACATATTACTCCTATATCATAATGTTTTGATCGTAATTTATTTTGCCTTTTATCTCTTCTTCATTCTTTTTTTTATTTTGATTTTTTATTTTAATTTTTTGTCTTCTATCATATAAATAACATTTTTTTTATTTAATTGAGTGACATAAATGTATGAGGGCCCAGGTTGAGTTAGATAACTAAAATAAAATGAATATAAATGAAGGCAAGGCAGGCACGCAATGCTGCTGGGAAATAAAATTCTGGCAGACAAATATAACGAATTGCTATTTTACCATGTGTGGCTGCTAGGGGTGGAAAAACAAATCGAATTTAACCGTTGAATTGTTGAACTGAATTGTATTGGATTGAATTTTCGGTTAATCGAACAAATTCGGTTCAAATTTAAATATTGTATATTTGATATTTGTTCAGTTTTATTCGATTTCGATTTTTATCTTTTTTTTTTTTGTTCAGTTAATCGAACCGAATATAGTTATATTTTTATATTTTAAAATTTATATTAATAATTATATTTTAAAATATATATTAATAATTATATTCAGTTCACGTTCGGCCGTTTGGAATATTTGCGGACATTTTTATTTAATTGGAATTTTGAATTATCTTTTAATATATATATTTATTTAATTTCAGTTCAGTTTGAATTATTTATAAATATTTTCGATTAATCAAAACATTCGATTAGGATAAGATTCATAATTTTAAATATTTGTTTAGTTCAATTCGAAGAACAACAGATACATGCTTATATGCAAATACTCGAACCGTACTCACCTAGTGGCTACATATACATCCATTGGCGGATCTAGGATTTTGAATTTGGTAGATCGATAAATTAATATAATTAAATTAAAATTAAAATAAGTAAATATATCAACAAAAAATTACATTAGAAAAATACGAAATTTCAAATTAACAATCACTTAGATATCAAAATAATTATAAGTGTTCACGACGAGATCTCTTATATTTTGGTATCGGCTGACAATAGCATTTATACTAACTTACGTAAACACATCTCTTTTTAGAAAAGTAACGAAACAATTATTTAATAATTATTCTTTCATGCTATTCCGTAATTTTTTTTTGATGATAGTTATAGTTGAAAATGATCTTTCTACATTTGTAATTGCTATTTTTCTTTGTCTCAACAAGTTTCATAGCAAGTTCATTTAAATTCTTCAAATCCCAAAATATTTCATCACATTAAACATCAATAATAAGATTACCCAATAATAATTCAAGAATCATCCATTTTGCTTCTGATAATTCTATAGAATATAATTATACATGTAGTTGCAATATTTTTTTATTAAAAGAGAAAAGTCCATTGGAGGGAAAAAAACAAGATATCAATAATTCTTTTGATTGATCTTGTTGAATACCGAAACTGATTCATGAAATAAAAATAAGACTAATATTTAAGGATATATTTGTAATTTAGTGATAATTAGTATTATTTTTAATTTTTTTTGATGGGTCAATTGACCCACCTTCCCTAATACTGCATCCACCCCTGTATACATCAATAAATGAATCCAATCATGCTTATTCTAAAATAAGCACATTGAACACAAATTATTTCTAGTAATATAACATAAAAATATAAAACTAATCCATCTGTCCGTCATATTTAGTTCATTTGAATCTTACAAGGTGATTAAAAAAGTAAATATTTTATTAAAAAAAATTGAAAAAGAGAATTAAGAGTATTTTTAAAAATTTAATTAGTAATTAAAAAGAATAAAAGTTAATAAACTTATTATAATTTGTTGTAAATAAATTTAAATAAAATATAACAGTTAAATACTGATTTTTTTTTTTACTTTTTTAAATATAATCATGAGATAAATTTAACATATAGATAAAACAAATTAAAAGAGGAATAAATTTGACTAAAGAAAGAAAAATATAATAATTTATTAATGAAAAAAATATATAAATGAAATTTTGTTTGAAAAATAAATATAATATCAACGGTGGAGGAATTTTCTAAATTAATTTAAAATACAATGATTGGATACGTAAATTTTAAATCCAGTTCACAAATATTATGTGATATTTCGCAGAACAATTTTAAAATTGATAATTTTAAAATAGAATTGAATTAGGTCAATATCATAAGTCTATTCTCCTAATCTTTTTGTTGCGTTCTTTGTGGATTTTATATATTTTATTATTCAATTTTATTTTCCTAAAAAAGTATTGCATCAAATAATATATATTTTTTTATCTTATACTAAAAATTTATTTTACATTCAAAACATCACATAATTTCTATTTATATAACATCAAACAACTATTCAAAAATCCAATCCTAAAAACTAAAATTCGCAGACAAACACACCTTGGGTCCAACTGCAACAATGCCCCTTGGAAATGTTATGCAATTCTTCTGTCCTCCATTGAATTGCATAATTATTATTCCCTCCTCATTCAATTGTATGGTCATTTCATCGGACACGGGTTTTAAGAAAAATATGTAAGAATAAAAAATTTTACTTTTTTTTGGTAAAAAAAAGTGATATTTTTTTACCAAAAAAACGAAAATAAATTTGGATGACAACTAAAAATATAAAATAAGAATATATTTAAACGACGAAGGGAGTATTATTATTATTATTATTATTATTTTTTTTTTTACTTTTTCTCTCGAAACTTGTTTTCTCTCAAATTTGGATGCTCATTTTACAAAACCGTTGACCTTCAAATTTTCTTCTTTAGGAACCTCTAAGGCGTTCAATAAAAATCACTTTTAGGCCAAATTTTACAAAACCGTTGACTTTTTTTAGGAACCTCCAAATCTTTTAAGGCCAACTACAACACATATAAAAATCAATTTTAGTAACAATTTATATTAAAATTATGATAATTTTCATTTTGTTTTTAAAAAATAAGCTCTATAGAATAGAGCCTATAACAAATTGGACGGTCTTTGCAAAAGAAAAAAAATAGTAACGAGTAAAAATTTTGAATTTAAAAAAAATCTATCGTGCATTTGAATGCTAAAAAAAATAATATTATTAGCCGTTCTTGCATACACATCTAAGAAATATGTATATGATTGCCACGCGAGTTATTATTTTTTTTTTCACCAAAATTATTTCTCTAATCAATAAACAAGAGATGTAGAAAAAAAAAAAAAAATCACAAGAATAATGATACGAAACATCGAGAATTTTTACGTAGAAAATATTTTTATGTGAGTGATAAAAATTACGAGGCCTATTGCATGAGCTAAGGCAAAAAATTCACGATACCAACAAAGTGCGTGCAATCAAAGACAATTTCCAATAACTAGATATCAAAAACTCCATACACTCAATTACATATCAAACTAACATTGCAAAATATTTCAAACAACAAAACAATACATTCTAAAATACTAATCAAGAAGGTTTAAATGAACCTAAACACATAAGTTCATGAAGATTCGGAATTAAAGAAATTCTTTATTCTTTTAATTCTCTCATTTGTGCCTCCAACTCTCTCTATCTCTCTAAAGAAACCCTACAAATGAATTCGGACAAAATAAAACCATATAAATTTATACCTTTAGACTCCAATAAATGATTGGGAGTAAGGTAGCGTGACTACGGTCTGGGTATTTGCAAATATTTAGGGTATTTGTAAATATTTAGGTATTTGATATCCGAACCAAACAGAACAAATACCCGAAATCGCGAACCGTATCCGAACCGAATATTTCAGTTAACCGAATTTTCGGTTAACTGAAAATATTTGCAATATTTGCAAATAATTCGAGCCGAATCAAAAAATTTAATAATATATATCAAAAAATAATTTAAATTTTAATTAAATAAAAATATTTACAAATACTTTAAATATCCGAACCGAATCTAATTATTAATATAAAAATTAAAATATAATAATATAAATATATTCAGTTCGGTTAACCGAATCGATAAAATATCAAAAAGTGAAATCAAACCGAAGCGAACAAATATCAAATATTCAGTATTTGTATTCGAACCAAATTTGCTCGATTAACCGAAAATTCGATTCGGTTCAATTCGGTTAAGCGTTTCGATGGTTCGATTCGATTTTGCTATCCACCTGATAGCGTGAACTCATATCTTTTAATAAGTGAGTGGTGAAGTCCTGATGATGGGATTTATTCTTCTTGTTGTTAAGATCAATGATACAAAAATATATTAAATTGTATAAGAAATTCCACAAACCACATAAAAAATTTATTTAACAAAATACATTTTAAATTTTGATGTTCTAATATGATTGGTCAAAAAATTGTTTTAAAAGATTGGTGATAACTACGGAAAGAGAATCTAACATTCGGGCCCGTTCTTGACCTTTATTAGGTCCGGGGCAAAATTAGAATATTTGGCCCTTAAATATATTTCTTATAGAATAATAATAATAATAAT